ACCTACCTACCTACCTGTCGACCTACAGACCTACTGACCTACCAACCTACCTATCTATCATCTATATCTTATGTCCTACAGGGGCTCTATGAATACAGAGTGGATATACCTGAAAACAAGAGGACACTTCTGCTACTCTAAGACTCACCCATCTTCCAGGAATTAGGGGCAGGAGGAAATTCTCATTTGCTGAGTACCTCTTATGCGTTTTATGTACATTATTTCATTTACCTTTCTCAACAGCCCTCAAAGGTAGATAAAGCTATTTCCATTTTCAGAAGAGGAAACTGAGGCTCAGAAATTAAACAACCTGCCTGAGTTTATGCACCTTCTAAAGGAAAGAGTTGGGATTGGAGCCTGCACTGTTGGCTCTGGGTTTCCCTTCTCTGTGCTGAGAAATTGCAATTAGGACCATTCCAGAGATGGAGCTCCTTTAAATTGCTAGTGAATTGATCATAAGATTTATTCCTTTGAAAACAAGCCCACTTTAAAATATATATATATATATATTTTATTGTGTTTAAGGTGAGAGTTTACACAGCAAATTAGGTATTCAGTGATATTGGTTACATTTTCACAATGTGTCATTCTTCTCACTCATTCCATTCTGGTTGTACCATTTCCAGTACTCTAGTTTTCCTGCCCCGTTACCTTATCATCTTTGCTTTAGAGTAATTTTTGACCATTTGGTCTCCTATTGTTGATTTTTTTTTTAAAAGAAGTTCATTACTCACAGGTGATAGTCTTTATGATCCAATCTGTTACTTAGCTCACATGACCTCAAGGGATAATTTTGGTTTAAGGTTTGAAGTGTATCTCAGAACGGCAGTCTCAGGGAGTCCGCTAATCTCAACCAGTCCAGCAAATCTGTAGCCCACTTTCTTATTAAATTAAAATATAGTTATCCTAGTACTCAGTTTAGGTCCTTGGGTGGCGCAAAAAGTTTGTGCTCAACTACTAATCTAAGGATTGGTGGTTCAAACCCACCCAACGGGCACCATGAAAGAAAGGCCTGGTGATCTGCTTCCATCAAGATTTGTTGTTGTTGTTGTTAGCTGCTGTCAAGTCAGCCCTCCATTCATGGCCAGCCCGTGTGTTACTGAACAGGACTGCTCCATAGGGGCTTTTTTTTTTTTTGGCTGTAATCTTTACTGAAGCAGTTTGCCAGATCTTACTTCCACGGAGCCACTGGGTGGGTTCAAAATGCCAACCTTTGGGTTAGCAAACCACTTGCTCCACCCAGGCTCTTTCCTTCCATTAAGATCACAGCCAGGAAAACCCTATAGAGCTCAGTTCTACTCTGCAACACATGGGGTTGCCATGAGTCGAGATCGACTCAATGGCTATGGGTTTTTTTTTGTTTGTTTGTTTGTTTTTTGGTTAGCACCAATTTATTAACAGTTTTTAGGATGTCAAGGTAAAGCAAGGCCCACTATTATTAATTTTCTCTTTCAATCAAGCCCCTAAAAACTGCTAACAGAAAGAAGCTCATGAATTAGATGTTCCTCTCTCTCCCTGACCCTCTAATCTTTAGTTGGTTAGTGGATTCTGATAGGGAGAATAAACAAGGTTCTCAGAGAAACATAGAGATTAGGGTAAACATCACATGGTGAGCAAAAAATCCTTGGCCTTGCAATCAAAAGACTGAGTTTAACTTGACCCGAAACTCATGAAATGTAAGCATGGGCAAAGTGCTTTCTCTCTCTGAAATTCGGTTTTTGCAACTTTAAAATGGAATGTTGGAAGCTATTTCAGAGGGTGGTTGTACACTTGCAAAATATTGTGTGGAAATAAGGAACATACGTCTGCAACCTCTGGCAAATCACTGAATCTCTCTAGTTCTGTTTCTGTGATTGGAACAAGGTGTTATGCTGATGTGTGCCCTAAACTTGATGAGGCCTTTGGAAGCCTTATGTTCTGAACATGAAAGACTTGGCTTACAAGGAAAAGTGTGTTACCATGAGATAATATATTACGTAAGATAAATACCAGTTCCCTTTGTAACATGATCCTTGTCAATTAAGTGAGCTTAATGTGAGGATTTGTATCATTTAGCTCTGTGAACTCTAGCCCACAGCAACAAAACACTCTTAACAAGGTAGTAACTAAAGCTTTAATCTCCTTTTAAATTCTGCTGAATCACAGCATCTATATCTCCCATGATAAGACAGTATAATATACAAAATCCTCAATGGCAAGGCAGATGAATTATTTCCAAAAGATTTTTTACTTTCTAAAAGGTAAAAATATTGAGTTCCACATTTGAAAATATGGATATTTAAAACATTTTGATGTCTAAAATTGAAGTTACACATACTTTTTCAGAAATACATCCATTGGGTAAAGAGAAATATATTTTGTCTAAAACTCCACAACAGCAAAACTTTGGAAGAGTAATCTTAATGTTTTCTAAATAAAGCTTGAGGTTTGGAGAGAAGAATGTAGCTGATCCTCCTAAGTCTTGGCCATGGGACTTCTGCTTTTTATGAATTCTGTGTGTTTCTATTCACACCCGTGGTCAAACGTGTTAAATCCTTTGATGAAGTCATTCAGTTGCCTTCTCTGATTGCCTGTTATGCTCCCACCTTCCAAGCAACCTGGGATAAAGCAATAGCTTTCAAATTTCCTTGACTGGACCCAGTCAATGTATCTCTTACCATTTATAATGGGACCAAATAAGCATGCACATCCCCATATATTCATGTATGTACCATACATATAACTGAATCTAAACTCTCTTGAAGCAATACTTACCTTTTCTATATGTAATGCACGCTGATATTTTCTATTCTATTTCATTTTTAAAATTAGTAGATTTCCAGTGTCACTGAATTGTACATGTAGAAATTTTTGAATTGGCATATGTTCTGCTGTGTATATTCTCAACAAAAACAACACAAATAAATTACAAAAAGCAACAACAACGAGATATCACTACGCACCTATTAGAATGGCTGAAATCCAAAACACTGATAACACCAAATGCTGGAGAGTATATGAAGCAACAGGAACTCATTCACTGTGGGTGGAAACACAAAACGGTACAGCCACTTTGGAAGACAGTCTGGCAGTTCCTTATCAAGTTAAACATAGGCTTACTATATGATTCAGCAATTGTGCTTCTAGGTATTTACCCAAACGAGCTGAAAACTTATGTCTATACAAAAACCTGCACACAAATGTTTATAGCAGCTTTATTCATAATTGCCAAAAATTGGAAACAACCAAGATGTCCTTCAATAGTTGAATGATAAACAAACTGTGGTGCATTGCTACAATGGAGTGTTTATTCAGTGATAAAAAGAAATGAGTTATCAAGCCATGAAAAGACATGGAAGAACCTTAAATTCATACTATTAACTTGACAATACACAACAACAAGTGAAAGAAGCCTGTCCCCAAAAGTTACATATGGTATGATTCCGACTTTATGACTGGAAAAAGAAAAACTATAGAGACAGTGAAAAGACCAGTGGTGGCCAGCTGGTTAGGGGAAGAGGGGAGCGATTAACAGGCGACACATAGGGCATTTTTAGGGCAGTGGAACCTGTATTTGATACCAAAATAGTGTACACATGACAGTAACAATTTGTTAAAACTCATGGGACTGTGCAACACAAAGAATGAAGCTAAATGTAAACTATGGACTTTAGTTCATAAACTGTATCAATATTGGTTTATTAATTGTAACAAATGTACCACACTAGTGCAAAATGTTAATAGGGGAAACTAGGCAGGGGGAGGGAGGGAACTGTATGTACTTTCCACTCAATTTTTCTGTGAACCTAAAAGTGCTCTAAATAATAATGCCTATTAATTAAAAAAAAAATTAGTAATTTCACAATCCATTAAAGCATTGCCATGTGTATTTTGAAAACCACCAATACAGAAAGTAAAGCTTTTTAGACTGGTTTTGAGTAGAAGTGGATTTGAATCCCAGGCCCACCACTTACTTTGGGCAAGTTACTTACCCTCTAGAAACCTCAGTATCCCCAACTTACATCAACACAAAAACCTGCACATAAGATCTAAATGAGAATAATTACCAAATCCACCTCAGGTGACTTTTATAAGATTAAATAAATTTGTGAGCATGACCAATGTGTGGCAGACATTGAATAAATGTTCGTTCCTTTCTATATACTATAAAGTTAATGTAGTAACAACCCTTTTTCTAGATAGTAAAATTAAATAAAACACACCCAACAGAGGTAGAATATAGAATTCCAAGCGAAGCAATGAATTAGCATCCTCCTCAGTGTGTGGAAAGAATTTGGATCTTTTGAGATACAGTCAAGCAAGTTTGAGTCCTAATTTCTACTTTTGATCATATGCAACGTAATAGCCAAAGAGCTAGAGACTGGCTTTGCTTCCTCCTTCTCTTCCAGGTCAGTGATGACCTCTGGTTTCAAGGCCCCCTTAAAGACTGCCAGGGTCTTCCCCTGTGTAGGATGCAGAACTGTTCTTTTAAGTCCTGGATGTGAATTCCCATGTCCATTACTAACTGGTGTGTGGCTGTGGACATGCTGTTTAACCTCTCTGAGCCTCATTTTCATTATCTGAAAAATAAGGTAATAACAACTAGTTCATGAGGCAGCTATAAGGATTAAAGTATAATGTATCAAAAACTTTGGACCAGGAACATTAGGAGGTTTGCAATATCAGTTCTCCAATCCTTTCCCCTCCTGCTAACATCCACACATGCATCCTTGCTACAGACTTATCTATTAGCCTCCCAAGAAAAGTCACATTTTAACCCATGGGGACATGAGACTGGTTTGATGCCATTTTACAATGGTGGCCACTGATATTTGAGATTTGGGGCCAAGGAAAACTTTCATGGGACTCCTCCAACCTGCTACAGAGAAGCCAGATACTCCACCCTTCTGTATCATTGGTCCTGGTCAAATGTACATCATAAAGTACATTTTTGCTTCTGTGGTCTCATTCATCCATTCATTCATTCACTCAGGTTTAGAGAAAACCAGGAACTCTGCTATCATGGCTGGGAAGCCCAAGCTTCATTACTTCAATGCACGAGGCAGAATGGAATCCATCCGGTGGCTCTTGGCTGCAGCTGGAGTCGAGGTAGGTTCTGAGCTAGGTCATGGTAAGTCATATCTAAAACTGTCTGTATCAAGGTGCTTTTCTCACACAAGCCAGGAGACTTCCATATTAGATGACCTGTCAATAGTTTTGCCTTAAATAAAAATATCACAGTGCAAGGTCTGTTTAACACTTGAAAAGCAATCAATGTACACAGCATATTAATTGTATAGGGGACAAAAACCATATGATCATCTCAATAGATGCAGGAAAATCATTTGACAAAATCCAACATCTTTTCACTATAAAAACTCTCAATAAACTTGGAATAGGAGGGAACTTCCTCAACTTGTTAAAGGCCACCTAAAACCCCTCCCTTCCCCTCAGCTATCATCATACTTAGTGGTAAAAGATAGGCTTTTTCCCCCTAAGATCAAGAACAAGACAAGGATGTCCTCTCTCACCAGTTCTATTCAAATTGTACCTAGAGGTTCTAGCCAGAGCAATTAAGCAAGAAAAAGAAATAAAAGGGCATCTAGATTGGAAAAGAAGAAATAAAATTACCTCTATTTGCAGATGACATGATCTTGTATTTAGAAAATCTTATAATGAAATACTACACAGCGAGTTGCTGATACATGCACTAACATGGATAGATCTCAAAATTAGGTTGACTGAAAGAGGCCAGACACAAAAGAGTATATAGCGTATTATTCCACTTTAAAATTCCATTTATAAATTCTACAAAAGGGAAATATAAATGATGCAAAGCCTATTTGCCATTGCCTGAGAGTGGGTACAGAGGATTGACGACAAAGTGCATGAGAGAACTTATCAGGGTGATAGAAACATTCTATACCTTGATTGTTCTGACAGAGTTAAATGGGTATACATTTGTGAAACCTCATGGGACCAGTTCACTTAAAATGAGTGTCTTTTATGTAAATTATTCCTTAATAAATTTGATTTTTTAATAATAAAAATATCACCAGTTATTAAAGAGACAGATTTGACTAAATAATTTTTTAAAAATTTCTGCCCATCAAAGAGCACAGAAACAATTAAAAGAAACTTAATCATCAACTAATCACAATTCGTGGTCCTTATTTGGATTTGGATTTCAACAAACTAGAAAAAATAGTTTATGACACTTATGCAACAATTAGAAACATGAACACAGATGATATTAAAGAAAAATTGTTAATTTTTTAGGTTCAATAATGTTTTGTGGTTATTTTAAAAATAATTTTTATGTTTTAGAGATACATATTGAAGTATTTAAGGATGCAAGATTTGCATCAAATTATTACTGTATGGAGAGAGCGACAGGGATATAGATGAAATGAGATTGACTTGAGTTGATAATTATTGAAGCTGGGTTATGGGTACAAGGAGGATCATTATCCTCTCTCTATTTGTTTTTATTTATGCTAAACATCTCCATAATAAAAATATATAACATAAGAAAATAAGTGTAATTAAACTTAAAATATAAACCACAAATGTGGGGGAGGTGGAGAGAGTGAGTGGATTGTAACATACTGCCTGTTAAGGGTTCAATGCATTCATTTAGCAATTATCCTGGTGAGCAATTATTAAGTGCCAGGATCTGTGCTAAGTCCTCGGGATACACTGATGAACGAGACAGACATGGTCCCTCCCCTCAGGTAGCTGACATACAGCGAAGATGCAGACAAGTAAATAGATGATTAAAATAAGGAGTGAGAACATCTGGGAGGACACCTGGGCTTTTTACAGTGTCCAAATGCCATACTTCCTAGGGTTTGAACAGGAAATGCTGTTAGGTTTCTGTATGACTCCGCTGGGTGCTGCCCTCCAGAGTAGTCACTGAGAAAAACACTTTCTCAGTCCAGATCACAGGGACCCAGCAACTGAGAGAGGGTTTTCCTGGGTAGCGAGTCATGGACAAACTCAGGAGATCTTGTCCCTCAGATAGGATATAGAAAAGGAGGAATTCAGGTGAGGTGGTGTCCTGGGAAATGAATTGCTTGTCCCCTCCCTCCAGCCTCATAGCAACGTGTTTACTGAGATGAAGCCTCAGGATTACACTTTATTGAAGTCTTCATAACTGTATGACTTTGGTCTAATCCTTTCTCAATGTTATGAAGAAACAAGCAAACAAAAGATCTCAATAGGGTAATCCCAGGTTGTTTTCTCTCTATAAATGAATAACCTGTTTTAGCAAAGTCCAGACTTCAGCTCTGCGATTCAGGAACGATCTGTGTTCAGAGCCCCCAGGCAGGATGGGTTCCTCACAGAAGGATGGAGTAGGGGGGAAAGCTGAGAGTATTCGGGCTTCCTCTTGTCTACCCAGCTTGACTGAAGAGGGTGGTGAGGTGAGGACAGTCCAGAGACCCTGCTCAGGGCTCCCAGGTTCTCTGTGCCCAAAGGGTGATCATAATAATCCCATCTCCTCCACCTGCCTCACAAGCAACATCACCCTCACCAACCCCATCCCCACCTCAGCCACCCTCCCATGATGACCACCCACCATCTCATGTGTTTGTCTTGAACTGGACACTTGATAAATTGTTTGCACACGCCATCTGTATAGCCTGACCCTGTGGGATCTACAACAAATGATATTTCACTGAGAAATTAGAAATCCCACAATTCCCACGTTTTTCATCATCATAAACCTTACTAACTGAAAGGTGGCAGTTCGAATCTATTCAGCCATTCCACGAGAAAGACGTGGCAATATGATTCCGTAAAGATTACCGCCAAGAAAACAGTGTGGGGTAGTTCTACTCTGTCACTTGGGGTTGCTATGCGTCGAAATTGATGGCATACGAAAACCACCCCCAATACTGTTAATTACTTGTTTTACTACGGACCATGTCTTGTGCTTCATAGTTTAAAAACATTACAGTATTTCATGTAAGGAATGGTCTACCCCATTTTATTAATGAGGAAACTAAGGCTTGGAGATGTTAAGTGACTACATTCCAGCTCACAGAGCTATCATGTAGCAGAACCAAGACTGGAACATCAAATCCATATTGTTGATAACTTCATCCTTGGACTTTTGGTTTAATAGATTCTGCCTGTTAAAAAAAAGTGCACGATTAAGTAATAATTAATTTTTGTATTTGTATTAAAGAGCTGTAACCACTCAGAGCTCTAATCTGCCTGAAATAGCCCAACTGCTTGGCTGTCATGCAACCAATGGAACACATGTTAAAAGGTCTAATTTACACCAAGGTTTAACTTACAGGAAATAGCCCAAGAACAACTTAAATATTCACCAGGTAGATTGCTTAAATTTTTTTTTTAAAAAAAGATGTGAATCTGTATGATGAAATAGCAGCCACCGGTTGAAAACTTAACGACAGCTTACATTTACTAAGCACTTAATGTGCATTTGATACTGTTCTAAGTGTTTTGCATGCATAAGTCCTTAAACCTATACCATAAGTACCATAATCACACTCTGATAAGAATACTGAGGCACACAGAGGTTCAGTAATGCGTCGAAGGTTACAAAGTGAAAAAGCTGAGGTACAAACCCAGGAAGTCAAATCAGAAACCAAAGTTACTTGGGGGAGAGGGGATAGAACTAGACCAGGGACTCTAATTTTTCTCCTTAGATTGGCAGTTCTGCCCTAGAGTGTCCCAAATTGTCAAGGATCGGAAATACTGAGTTGCAAGAATAGAAGCTGTGCAACAACTGGGACCCATTTTGCCATGGGCGAAGCTCCCAGGGAATACCAAACCAAACCAAACCCACTGCTGTCGAGTGATTCCTACTATAGGACGTAGTAGAACTGCCCCATTGGGTTTCCAAGGCTGTAAATCTTTACAGAAGCAGACAGCCACGTCTTTCCTGTGGAGCGATTGGTGGGTTAACCAGCTGAGTGCTTTAACCACCGCACCACCAGGGCTCCACTCCTGTGGAATGGAGTGATATAAATTATGGCAGAGGCCAGTTGGTGGCAGAATTTTAAATGGTGCCTAGCCCAGTGGCATACCCTATGCTGGGGGCACACAATGTCCTACCCTGATCTGACGTGGAGAGACAGACTCTCTCAAGATGTTCAAACTCCAGAATTACAACAATCTCCCAAGTCTCCTCCCTCCAATGACATTTTCCTCCCAAATTCTTACCTAATCTTAGGGGACAGGATGGAGGTGAAGAGGACCTTAAGGAATGAGCACCCAGCTGCTATGACCCATGCCCTTTCCTTAATAGGTCTTATCTAAGTATTCCAAATGGCCGTGATCAAACTCCTCTTGCCAAACTCAGAAAAATCTTTCCTTCTCCATATTATGTACCAACCTTTCAACTTTGAAAGCTCTGTAATGCTACTGAAAGAAGTAACGGGATTTTTTTTTTTTTTTCACTGTTTCTGCTTTCCAGTTTGAAGAGAAATTTTTACAAACTCCAGAAGACTTGGATAAGTTAGTAAATGGTAAGACCAAGTTTCTAAATGCCCCTGAGGAAGATACCTACTAGAAGTCATAAGTCAAGGTTGTAACACCAGGCAATGTCTTACGTGCTTGTGTGGTGGTAGTTGAGGGTGGTAGAGAGGGAGAAAAGTGGTTAAAACTAAGGAGCCAGACTCCCTGAGCAGGTCTGACAACTCTCTCAGGGCTAAGAAGGGCTACGACACTGGGAGTCTTTGCTACAGAAACCATGCCCAGCGCTGTGTGAATGCCCTCCCCTTGCTTTCTCATGCTTTTCTGCACCATGAATGAGCTGCAAACAGTTCAGGATCCCACACTGACCTCCATCCAAAAGACACACATGCATTAGAGTGAAAGGAGTAGACAGAAGTGTGGCAATGACCTTGAGTTCTTCTCTCTTATGGGTTGTAACAAGGTAATATTCTAGCAATATTGCAGACTCCGTTAAATGAGACAATGTTGAAAGAGTTGGGAGGCTAGGTGAGAGGGTAATTACCCGATTAGCATCTGTGCCCTGGAGCAGATGAGCCAATGAAACTTACTCAAAGTCAGAGAGAGAAAATTTATTAGGAGGTGACACCAACAAGGAGTCCAACAGCAACACTGGCTGTCTTCATGGAGTCCCAAAAGGTAATTTCTACATCAGAGCTTATATATCATTTTTGCAAGGGTTATACAGTGTCTTCAAACACGTAGCCCACGGACGGTCAGATGAGTATACATCACGAGACAATTATGAGAAACTCTTTATTAGACTAAAGATGTGCATGCCAGACATCTCGACTCTAATCTTTATGTTTCTAAGAGGCAAAAAAACTTATATAAAAATCTCTCAGCTAGTGGAACTGGCCTGCCAAGTTTACTCTGACCAAGATAAGGAGCAAGAAAGAAAATAAGTTGCAGATCAAAAGCACCAGGCAGCCTTCCTCGCTGCTGCATTGCAGGCTGAAGGCCATCCCCTAAGAGAACAAAGACAAGGAAGAGACCAAGGCCACAGGAGCGGAGAAGTCCTCACACCCCTTTGGAAAGAGACCAGTGCAGCTGGTGTAATAAAAAAAGGGCATTGAAAATGAGAGTGTACAAAATATCAAGCAAAAACCCTTACAGGTTACTTAGGTTATCATGATGGTGTTAGTTATGTCAAGCTCCCAACTGCCCATTTTGAAAAGGAGAAAACATGCTGTGAGGTACTAGGGTCACAGGGTGATGAGGGAGATAACTGAGCAAGGAACAATATCTGTGGGATTAGGAAAACAAGGCCTGCCCTGCTCACACCACTTCCATGGTGTGATTTGAGGAGCATAGAAAGGGGCCTCTACATAGAAATCCTGCCCAGAATGCCAGGAACACCATGAGAATTACTTTGGGGATTTCCCATTTAAAATGGCACCTGGCTGGCAGCCCTGTTGCAGCCGCTCCCAACTTTTCTTGAACACATTTCAAGCATGTAAAATACAAAGGTATCAACTTATATCTGGTTGGAAAATAATAATAAGATAAATGAAATAACAGGTTAAAAATAAAAGGGAGATTGATAAGAACAAGAAGGACTACTGTGAAGGTGAAAACAAACTGCTATTTCAGTTGAAGTGTCACCAGGTTATGAGTTTTGGTTTCATTTTGCACATTTTTGCATCCTTAAAGAGTGTGATCCATAAAATATTTCACCTACTCTTTTTCTTTTCTTTCTTTCAAAAGACGGGAGTTTGATGTTCCAGCAAGTGCCAATGGTTGAAATTGATGGGATGAAGCTGGTGCAGTCCAGAGCCATTCTCAACTACATTGCCACCAAATACAACCTCTACGGGAAGGACATAAAAGAGAGAGCCCTGTACGATATATTCTCTGTTCTTATATTGGCAAACAGCACGGGAACCGCTTAGGTCCTACCTTGAGTCGACAGAGCATTTTGGGACTGCAGAAGAAGAGGCCAGGAGGAGCAGAAGCCCCAGGACTGAGGGGGACCAAGGCAGGGGATCATGACTCAGCAGCAGGCTGGGCCTTAGGCATGTAGACTGAGTGAGGTCCAGCACAGGAGAGTGCTATGGGGAAAGGGGAATGAAAACCTGGGGTGGATTCAGTGGGTGTGCCACGATGTAGCGCGGTGACAGAAGTTTCCAACTGCTGAGAAACAGGAAGCCAGAAAGATGGCAATATTGTTTTAGCAGCTCAGGGCTTTAAGAGCTCCATGGCAGCAATAGCTAGAGACAAGAACAAAGTATCTGAGCGTCTAGAGAAGAAGGCTAAGGAAAGGAAGGAGCCAAAGAAGTTGATTCTGAAGTTCTAGAAATTACAAAATGATAATGAGGAACCTACTAAGTTATATGGACTGGTCAACTTGGCATGGTTAGCAGAGGCTAGAACCCAGTGATTCTGTGGTGCCCGGGGTTGCCTTAGCATCTCAATACAGCCTGAAGCAGCCAGACGCATTCAAAAACCCCAAAACAAACCCTAGAGACAGAAAGTAAATTAGTGGTTACCAGGGGCTGGCGGGAGAGATGAATAGGGAGTGACTGCTAAAGGGTACAATGTTTCTTTTGGGAATGATGCAAATATTCTAATGATGATTACAGAACTCTGTGAATGTACTAAAAAACACTAAATTGTACCCTTTAAAAGAGTGGAATTTATGGTATGTGAATTATGTTTCGATAAGCTGTTATTAAAAAAACTCTTAGTGACAGTTGCACAATGTGATAAGTGTAATTAATGTATATGTAAAAAATGTTGAAATGACAAATGTTTTGTTTATTTTTTTTACTACAATTAAAAAAAAAAAAGCTCACAGAGGAAGCTCAGTTTAGAACAAAGGGAAAAAACCTTCCCTGGAATATGCGTTGGTTGGAATTGTTTAAATAATTGCACCTACTTAAGAGTATATGACTGAGGTCTCTCTTGGGATTACTTAGGTGGCAGATCTTTAACCATATGCTTCACGCTAGTTTGTGCACCAAACAAGTAACAGCAGAGATGGCAAACCCTGGGTGTAGTATCATTTGGTACTTGCTGTGATTCTACTAACTCTGTCTTAGCCTTGACCTTGAACAGGTCACCCATGCTCTCTGTACCTACATTTGGTCATGTGCTTAACAAAACTTTTAGACACATGCATACCCCAATAGATTGTTCTGAAAATTAAATGGGAAAAGATAATTAAAAATCATAGCATTATGACTGGCACAAAATAAGCACCCAATGAAGGTGAACCTCTTTTTGAATTATAAAATCTAAGGCAGGAGGCATTTGACACTTTGCTCATTTTTGTCTTTCAGGATTGATATGTATGTAGAAGGTGTGGCAGATTTGAGTGAGATGATCCTGCTTTTGCCAATAGCACCACCTGGGGAAAAAGATGCCAAGCTTCAGTTGATCAAACAGAAAACAACAAACCGTTATTTTCCTGCCTTTGAAAAGGTAAGTGGAATCTGCTCGATGCTTCAGGGTACTAAGAGTTTAGAGGGCAACCAAATACCAGTGCCTGGACGTTACTGGGACATTGACCTTCATGCCAGGGAGTCTCCCTCGATACTAAGGTAGCATCCTGACCCTCCAGATATTTTATAAAAATTGACTGTTGTAAATTTTCAGAAAATTTCAATTTGCTAGGACCCAATGTAGAATTCTCTAGCCGACAGAATCCCATGGTCATATTTAGAGCTTGTGTTGGCGGGTGCTATGGGCAACGCTAGAGATTGGACTAGACCCTGCAGAGCACCAAGGGCTTCTTCAAGATGGAATATGATAAAAGCAAGACATTAGAGAAATATTCTGGCACCTCATGTAGGGAGACACGATACTGCTGCCCACCAGGAGGATAATATTGTAAATATTCAAGTGTGGGGGTGAGAAGTAGCTAAACAGGGGTGGTAGGATGGAGAGAAAGAGAAATACACAAGACATGTTAGGAAAAGACCAATCTATAGGATTTGGGACATGGCTCTCAGACTTTTGAGGAAAGCTATGAAAACTAAAGAAACAAGTTTCAACATTATGTGTCTAGTATGTATACTGGTTGATTTTTTTTCTTTGAAGGTAAAAGGAGAACATTTCAAGATCAAAACTGTCTGAAATCATGAACAAAAAATGATTATAAGAGATACCAGAACCCCAAATCAGTTGTCATCAAGACAATTCTGCTCATGGCAATCTCGTGTGTGTCAGAGTAGAACTGTGCTCCACAGGGTTTTCAATGGCTGATTTTTCAAAAGTAGATCACCAGGCCTTTCTTCCAAGGCTCCCTGGGATGGACTCGAACCTCCAACCTTTCGGTTAGCAGCCAAGCACGTTAACTATGTGCACCACAAGGAGCTCCATAAGAAATAAAATAAAAAACCAAATCAGTTGTCCTCGAGTCAATTTGGGACTCACAGCAACTCCATGCACTTCAGAGTAGAACTGCAGTCCACAGGGTTTTCAATGGCTGTGATCTTTCTGAAGTAGATTGTCAGGCATTTCTTGCAAGGTGCCTCTGGGTGGATTTGAACTGCCAACCTTTTAGTTAGTAGCCTAGTGCTTAACCGTTTTAGCCATCCAAGGACTCCTCCATAAGAGATACAGGAGGCTTTAAAAAAAAAAAAGGACTAACATCTAAACATCCATCTATAGATCATTCTTTCGTTCATTCAACAAATGTTAATTCATTCCTTGTGTCTCAGGCCCTATTCAAAAAGCTACAAATTTAATAGCAATAAGAAAATAGGCCGTCATGACTCTTGGGATGCTGACAGTTTAGGGCACTTCCACAGAAGACAAACCATACAGCATTACAGATTAAGTATATCCACAATTAGAAATACAAACAGCCCCAGGAGAACATAAATGAAAAATGTATATTACAAATTAGCTTTAGATATTTTATTTTTGTATAAAATAATTATACATACTTCTATAAGGAGAAGTAGTCTGAAAGGGTATTTGCCAATATGGTTAACAATGGTTTATCTTTAGATGGTGACATCACGTGTGTTTTGGTCTTTATTCTCTATGATTTGCATATCCTTGGAATATTTTCACTAGATATTACATATTTTCCCAACATTTTATTATGAAAAATTTCAGACACACAGACAAGTTGAAAGACCCGTACAATGAATACATATATACCCATCACCTAGATTCCAAAATTAACATTTTATTATGTTTGCTTTGTCATATCTCTTTATCTCTCCATCCCTCTTTCCATCCAAAACTTACTACTTTTTGACCCTTTTCAAAGTAAACGCAGTATCAGTGCAGTTCATCCCTAAACATTCCAGCATGCAGATTATAACATAATTCAATGTTTTTACCAAACTTAAAAAACCAAACCTGTTGCTGTCTAGTAGATTCCGACTGATAGCAAACCTATAGGACAGGGTAGAGCTGCCCCATAGAGTTTCCAAGGAGTGCCTGGTGGATTCAAACTGCTGACCTTTTGGTTAGCAGCCATAGCTCTTAACCACTATGCCACCAGGGCTCCAATGTTTTTACAGACACAAGTAAACTAGAAATCAAAGCCAACGTTGCAAGGAAGATGATGAATTCAAGTTGACACAGGTTTATTTCAGACCCCAGAAAGATAGACCAGGAAATGAGGAAGCAGATATGAGGAGAAATGTAGACTCTGAAATAATCTGGTCAGGGCTGAAGAATGCATCATGAAGAAGAGATGTTACCCAAGGGAGAGGAGAGAGAGAGAAGAATGGAGAGTTATAGCCTGAAGTTTCAGTGCTGCACATTTAGGAGGTGGCATAAACAGACACATGGTGCAGCAGGTGCCAAGTCCTTGGCACTTATGGAAGATGCAAGTAATAGGGTTGGAATGTGAAATGCCACAATGATGTGGGAAAGAGTAAAGAAAACTCTAGCCTGGGCTTCAACTGAGGAGTGAGGAAAGAAGAGCTGAAACCCACTCCCTCCTCTCTCTTATTGAACCAGGGGTGGTGGAGAAAGGTCTGAAGCTCTCCAACTGCCCAGTAAGGCAGCAGAGGTGGGGAAGATGGGCTGGAGGGAGTCGGGACAGGACTAGCCTGACTGTGCATGTGCTCATGATCTGATGTCCTCTAATTTGCCAGGTGTTAAAGAGCCACGGACAAGACTACCTTGTTGGCAACAAGCTGAGCAAGGCTGACATTCAACTGGTTGAACTTGTCTATTACGTGGAAGAGCTGGACTCCAGCCTGACTGCCAACTTCCCTCTACTGAAGGTGATTGATTTCACAGTCCCCAGGAGAGGAAGCCCCACTCCTCCCTCCTGGGAATCTAGTATATGGACCCTCAGACTGGTGATTTGAGCCCCAGCCTTTTCCAGGCCTCTGCTCTCCCTTATGTCACCAAAATTAGCTTCTAGGTCCTGGTTCTGAGGCATGAAAAGATCTTGTTAAGCCAAGGCAATTTGAAGTGGATGGTAACCCAAGAAGAATATTTTGTCTTCTATCATGAGAAAGACTCAGGACTCAGCATCTCTCTGCCCAGCCCTCTATTCCATTGCTGTTTCTGGTCTCATTTTTCTCTGTGATTTCCTTTATCCCAGGTTTTCCACTTCTGAGTCTGCGGGAGCAGTTCTCTGTCCCTCTGATTTCCTACCCTTGGCTCCTACTGCGCCTTTCAGACGTTGAGTCCCTCTCTGCACAGGTCTCCCCCCACCCCATCTTTATCTCCCTCACTGGGCAAATTAGTTTCAACCGGCCCCATGGTTTATCGTTTTTAATTTTCTCTGTCTTCATTCCAGCTCGGTTTTCCTATATCTTCATTTCTGGTGTTTGGAGACTTTATCAGTGTTGATATCTGACTTGAAGACAGACACATTATTCATCCTTGTATTGTACAAGCACAATGAATGTACAAGATATCTCTGTAAAGAAAAAGATAGGGAAGACTGTGATAGGAGTAAAGTCTCAAACGAAGGTGTCTTCAAGGGAAAGTGCTGTTTTCCTTTCTCTTATCTTCATTTCTCTCTGAGCGTCTGTTTCTCATGTAGGTGCTTATGGAAGGGACTCAGTTGGTCCTTGTCTTGGAGGGTCTCAGGTGTCCTGGGTTGTGCTAATGACGGGTGGTCTTCTGGCTCCATTCTGAGGCTCTGCTGTTGTCCATTGCAGGCCCTGAAAGCCAGAGTCAGCAACCTCCCCACGGTGAAGAAGTTCCTGCAGCCTGGCAGCCAGAGGAAGCCTCCCATGGATGAGGAATCTTTAGAAGAAGCCAGGAAGATTTTCAGGTTGAAATAAAGCAGGCATGGATGTCAAGCACACGCAAGACAAATCCGAAATTTTATAGCAATGGAGTGCTTTCCAAGTCATTAATCCTGGCTATTGTGAGGCTAATAAACTTTTCCAAAGTATATGTGCTAGTTTAATTAGAAATCAGCTATGTGCAGATTTAGGTCAATGGGTGGAACAAATGATTTGTGCTCAGCTAATAACCTAAAGGTTGGTGGTTTGAACCCACCCAGTGGCATCTCGGAAGAAAGGCCTGGTGATCTGCTTCCATAAACGTTACAGCTAAGAAAACCCTATGGAACAGTTCTACTCTGTAACACATGGGGTTACTGTGAGTCGAAACCAACTCAACAGCAATGCGTTTGGTTTTTTGGTTTATGTGAAGATTGAGTTGCAGTTCAGTCTACTTATTTTTGTTCAAATATGAAATCATCATCACCTCCTAGGATGTCTCTTGCAATTGAAAATGATTAAAATGAAAAAATTTACATGGACTCTTTGGTCTGTTTCCAAAAATTGTCATAGAACAACTGTCATATTATACCCTAGCAAAAAGAGTTAAATAGAAGTTTTGCATCTGACAATATCAGTTACATAAAAATAGTTTTATCCTTTTGCATTTGGCTACTTTTCTGACCAATGACACACAATTTTTTTCTCTTTAGAGAGCCTTTTTCCTCAGGTAATCAACATTTCTCCCCCTTATTCATTCATTGAATGAATGTTTATGTCTATTATGGGCCATTCAGTGTTCCAAGGGCTGGGGAAATCATGACAAACAAGCCAGATACAGCCTCTGTTCTCATGGATGGTTACTCTAGTGAAAGAAACAAAAAAATAGGCGATTCTAATCCAAAACCATGCCTACTATCCTTGTATTAGCTTCCTAAGGCTGCCGTAACAAATTACCACAAACCAGGTGGCCTAAAACAGCAAAAATTTATTCTCTCACAGTTCTGGAGGCCAATAATCCAAAATCAAGGTGGCAGCAGGGCCATACTCTCTCTGAAGTCTCCAGGGGAGGATCCTTCCTTGCCTCTTTCTACCTTCTGGTGGTTGCCAGCAATCCTTGGCAACTCCTTGGCTTGTAGACACATCACTTCAATCTCTGCCTCCGTCATCACTTGGTGATCTCTCTGTGTGCACGTCTCTGTCCAAATTTCCTTCTTCTTATGGGACACCAGACAGAGTCCCTGGTGGTGCACATGGTTAATGTACTCAGCTAGCTGCTAACCAAAATGTTGGCAGTTCAAGTTCGCCCAGAGAAGCCTCAGAAGTAAGACCTGGCAATCTATTTTAGAAAAATCAACCACTGAAAACCACATGGGGCATAGTTCTATTCTGACACACACGCAGTCACCATAAGTCAAAATCTACTCCACGGCAACTGGATGGGGACACCAGTCATTGATCCCATCTGAACTTGATTACATCTGCAAAGATCCTTTTTCCGAATAACAACACATTAACACGTACGGGGGAGGTGTTAGGGACTGAATTGCTTTCAACACCCGCCCCCCAGATATGTATTGGAATCCTAACCGATACACCTATGGATGTGAGCCTGATTGGGAATAGGGTTTTCTTTGTTATGTTAACAGGGCCACATCAGTGTATCGGTGTGTCCTAAACCTAATCACTTCGGAGTTATAAAAAGAGCAGATTAGACACAGAAGCAAGCACAAACGGGGGAACACAGATGTTATCTGAAGGCAACAGAGACAGATGAATCTATGAGCCCAGGAACTCCAAGGATTGCCAACTACTAGAAGCTGAAATAGATAAAGAAGGACTTCCCCTTAGAATCACACTCTGAATTCAGACTTCTAGCCTTCTGAACTGTGAGAAAATAAATTTCAGCTCTTTAAAGCCACCCACTTGTGGTATTTCTGTTATAGCAGCACTGTATCTAAGCATTAAGACATGTGGGGAGGGGCAGACAGAGACACACGGATCATGTCCTTTCTGTTGACTCAGTGTAAGGCCATCTCAGCCCAACAAGATGTTCCAAGATATCCCTTTGCATGCTTACTCGCTCCTTCTCCAGCTAGAGACTCCTCAAAGGATTTATAAGGAAGAGACGCCTTTGTTAAACACCCTTCCAGTGATATACTCTTATACCATTACCCTTTGTTGTCGTTAGTTGCCATCCAGTTGATTCCAACAGAGGTTTTCACCCTTATCAGACCCAGCCTTTCCCAGGTTACAACATACATTTTATAATTTTTTTTATTGTCCTGTGAACTTCCTTGTAGGATTTACCTCATTGTGCATGGTGCTAGGGGTACAAGACAATAAGATGTCACCTGAGCCTTTGACAAGTGCTTAACTGAAGTGAGGAAAAAGATATGCATATGAAGAATTACAAATAAATATATAAAGTTGAATCAAGGAGAGTTCCAGCAGGAAGCAAAAAGGACTACTCAAAAAACATGGCTGACAAAGGGACAAATATTGTATGATTCCATTTATATGAAATATCTAGGATAAGCAAGTGTATAGAGACCAAAGTTTCTTAGCGGCTGCCAGGGACGGGTGTGAGGGAGGGGAAAAAGGGGAGTCACTGCTTAGGGGGCACTGAGCTTCTGTTAAGGATGATGGGAAAAGTTGGAAATGGATAATGATAATGACTGAACAACATGATAAACATAACTAACTTCACCAAACTGTGACATGTGAAGAATGTTGAAAAGGCAAATGATTTGTTACATACATATCTACAACAATTAAAAAAAAAAGGGAAGGGGTGACTAAGAAGACTTTAATGAAATGTCTATTTATAAAACAGGGTTCATACCTACCAGGGATGATGAAGCACTCTGGGGCTAGCAACACTGAGAAGCCTCTACCTCCTCTAGCCCTCCATGAGACAACTGTAGGAAGCAATAGAAGGACCTAGAAAACCACTGAGAGTCATAGCTGTAGGAAAAGACCACCCCAGCAGGGTGTGATGGCCTTCACAGAGGAAGACACCCACCACCAACCTGCATTCCAAAACACATGCACAGCTTATAAAAATCCCAAAAGCTCAGAAATTATAATGATTTGTGACTGATTTGCACTGCAGGTTTATTCATTTTTATGCTACATGTAGTTTGTTTTAGAAAAAAAAATAGTTTTAATTTTTGATATGTATATAGATGGAGCCCTGAGGGCACATTGGTTAAAAGTTCAGCTGCTAACCAAAAGGTCAGCAGTTCGAATCCACCAGCTGCTCCTTGGAAACCCTATAGGGCAGTTCTACTCTGTCCTATAGGGTCACTATGAGTCGGAATTGACTCGGTGGCAATGGAATATATGTATATATTAGTTTATATTTATCATGCTGTTGCTTGTTAGTGTCAAGTTAGCTCTGACTCATGGCGACCCCATGTACAACAGAATGAAACATTGCCCGGTCCTGTGCCATTTTCATGATTACTGGTATACTCAAGTCTATTCTTGGGGCCACTGTGTATTCTTACTGCCTTCCAACCCAGGGAGCTCATCTTCCAGCACTATGTTGGGCACTATTCTGTTATGAGCAATAGGATTTTCATGGGCTAATTTTCAGAAGTAGATCTCCAGGCCTTCCTAGTCTGTTTTAGTTTGGAAGCTCTGCTGAAACCTGTTCACCATGGGTGACCCTACTGGTATTTGAAATACCAGTGGCATAGCTTTGCACATCATAGCAACCAGCAAGCTACCACAGTATAACAAACTGACAGACAGGTGGAGGTATATTTACCACACTAGACATTAAATAGTTTGAATATCATCACCGGATAATCTGTGATAGTAAAAAATTGTTGTTAAGAAGGAATGTACGTTTTGGTATTTAATCCTTAAACTATCCCCAGTTTTCCTAGAGAGGGCCTATATACAGCAAAATTGGCAACACCTGGAATCTGTGTAAGGCGGAAACCTGTCAGAGAAGGAACTCAAATATTTTCCACTAAAATGAGCAATAGAAAAGTGGTAATACTGCACCCTGTCAAAGACAGAAAACTTGCGAGACTCTGAAAAACAAGGTAGGCTCATTGAGTTCTGGTCCTCACAAGTTTCACTGTATATACTATTGAAATGAAAACTGAAAAAAAAAAAAACAAAACCAAACCTGTTACCATCGACTCCGTCCGGACTCATAGCGACCCTGTAGGACAGAGTAGAACCGCCCCATAGAGTTTGAATTGCCAACTATTTGGTTAGCAGCTGTAGCACTTAAACACTATGCCACCAGGGTTTCCATTGAAATGAAAGTGGGTACTAATTTCTCTGACTGTCCTGGGGGAATTGGGTCAAGGTTTGGGCCATCGTATATGGTAACCTGTCTGTTTTCAAAATCTTTCTGAAGAACTAATATATATTAGTGACAGTCTGCCAACCACAGTTGCTTAGATAAGCAACATGTGTCGGCACTACTTTAATCTTGTGTTATCTTTGATTCCCCTTGCCCCTTCTTGTCTCTCACAACCTTTGTTCACCTCTCCTCTGCAACCAATAGCTATGTTTGAATACATCTGTCCTTTGAAACTGTCAATATAGTTGTGACATTCTAAGTCAACAGACCAGCCTAGTATACCCAATAGAAAAAGATATTTAGAACTTGACCTTAGAAATTGGTGAAATCTTCTCATAGTTTATGATTTCGATGAATAATATTTAAAGGACTTTATTCATTGTTTAATTCAATAAATGTTTACTGAGCACCTGTTATGTTCCTTATGCTGTTCTAGTCATGGAAGAAGAGTGCTGTGGTGCACAAGACCATTCCCTGCTCTTCCACTGCATTCCAGTAGGGAAAGACAGAGTAAATAAACAAATCAATGAAAAGGTTACTTGTGGCTAGTGATAAACACAATGAAGAAATTAAAACAAGGTAGTGTGATGGAGAATGACTGGGATGGTGATGGGAGGTGATGGTTAAGGTTGTGTGTCAACTTGGCTGAGCCACAATTCTCATTGGTTTGGCAGCTACGCAGTGTGGCAGTCGTATAACGTTGTGAACGCTTCCATGATGAGTTTCGATATAATATGATCACCTCCATGATGTGATCTGCTGTGAATAGCCAATCAGTTGAAAGGGAGTTTCCTTGGGC